GAGAAAAACCAGATAGAGTCATTAGGCTATTCAAGTACAAATAACTTTAATAATAATAATAATAATTATTATTATTATTATTATTATTATTTTGGTACTGGGGATTGAACCTAGGGATGCTTAACCACTGAGGTACATCCCCAGACCTACTTTTGTGTTTCATTTAGAGACAGAGTCTCACTGAGTTGCTTAGGGCCTCGCTTAGTGGCTGAGGCTGGCTTTGAACTCACGATCCTCCTGCCTCAGCCTCCCAAGCTGATGGGATTACAGGCATGAGCCACTGTGCCTAGTTATTTTTAAAACTTTAATCCAATTTCTACTCAAATACTGGAAGAAAAAATGGTATACAGGTTTTAAACAAGTAAATTTAAACAGCATTCCAAGTTCTCTTTTAAAAATTCTTTTGGCTGCCGGAAAAATAAATAATAATACTGATTTTACCCATTCTGTAATCCTGGCTAGATTCTGGAGCAGGTGGGAGTTGGTGCTTACCAGGAGCAGGGTATGCATGAAAGTAAGTTTCTAATCCCCGCATTAGATTACTTATAATCTATGCACTGGGAATTCCCTATAAAACACAGATGTTTAGTGAAGAGTCCATCAGGGCAGAATAAATGAGTTAAAAAGAAATTACTTTAAACAGTCACCAGTCCATTTTGGCAAACTACAGACTCATTTCGAATTTAACACAATCATAAGGAAGATAATGGGAAGAATTTTGGCTTCTCTATGAAAATTGGGGTTATAGCCTTTGGAAGCCCAGCAGTGAGGCTAAAGTAAATAGAACTATTTTTTTTTTTTTGTCATTCTTTCCTTTTCCTACTTAATTTTACTTTTATTTCCAGAGGTGTTCATGGCAGATGAAAAAAATAATTCCTTCCCATTATGGCTAGATTACTACCTGCCCCAAATACACTAGATGATTGCTTGCCCTTGGACATAGTCTACGACTGTGGGAACATTGATTCTTTCTGAAAGCAATGTTAAATCACCAGAAGGTGGGCACGATTCTAGTTCTGCAGCGAAACAGAAATAAATGGGCCTTTATGGACAGAAAAGGCACCATGAGTTTTGAAACATGAAAGTGTTGTCCTGTTCCACTGGGGAAAGTCAAGGTCAGGAAAACAAGTTATTTTTCTGATTTCAGCTTCTCTTTCCATTACTCAGGATTCATTCCTTTTTTTCAATGCAGTGACGTCTGGTCTAGCGGCTCTGACACGTCAGGCACTGGAGTCAGTAACTGCACCCAAAGACAAAAATGTCCGTGGGACACACACCTTCACCCTGACTCAACAGAAGACAGAACAGCACAACGTTTACCATGTAAAACGTTCGAGGTAGGAAGTGAAAACCGAGAAACAATGGAGCAGGGGAAATGTGGGTTGGTTTGCGCATTTGTCTGTTCGCAATTGTAGGAGGGGTGGCCAAAGGAGGCTTTGCTAAGAAAGAGACGTTTGTGTGCAGGTGGTGGAAGAGTCAGCTTTGCAACTGTATGGAGAAAGAACTTTCTGGTTCCAAGAAGTAGCAATGCAAAGGTCCAGTGGCCACGGAGAGTTTGGAGTGTTGGGAGGAGAGCAAAAGAGCCTGTGGGGTTCCGTGGGACAGCAGAGGTGGGAGGGAGTTTGAGAAGGAGGAGGGAGGAGGGTCTTCTAAGACTGTTGACATGGTAAAGAAGATTGCTCCCAATCAAGTTAGACCTGGAGGTATGAGGACGTGCTACGCTCAAAACAGACCCAATGTAACAGATGTCAACAGAATCACTCAGACTATGGGGTGATTGGACGGTCCATCCTCATTCGAATGGACAGACTGGGGGGCCACTATAGGCAGGTGGAGTGTGGCTGGAGGAAATGAGTTACTGGGGGTGTGCTCTGGAATGGTGCATCTTCCCTGTGGTCTGTCCCTCCCTGTCCACCCCTCTCTCTGCTTCTTGATTCCACCATGAGTGGAGCTGCTCTCCTCCTCCATTGGGCCCTTCCGCCATGATGTTCCGCCATGACGCTCTTGGACCCAGAGCCATGGAGTTGGCCATCTACGGACTGGACCTCTGAAACCATGAGCCATAGTAAACTTTTGCTCCTCTAAGTTGTTCATGTCAGATGTTTTGGTCACAGTGTTAGTAAAACTAACTAAAATACATGCAGAAAAGGAAATCCGGTACTTCTTGAGGACTTCCTGGTGACTTATAGGAAATGACTCTTCAGGTGTTTTTTTTTTTTGTGTGTGTGATGAACTGCACAGAGAATAGCATTGTCCATCACTAAACTAATCATTGAGAGAAGACAACGTGGAAGCAGACCATCTTTATGTCTTTGGAGGCTGCACGTATTTCCAGAAATGGAGTGATCATTTGCAAATCAATGTGATTTTTATGTCTGAGACTGTTTTCTACAAAAAGCTTCTTTTTTGAGAAGATGTCCTACACTGAAGGATGCTAATTATTCTAATAGGGTTGCCATTCAAATACATGGGTTAATAAGAGAAGCTAAAGCAATAGAAACAACTTTCTGTCTTTAAATTTTCCCAGTGAGGCATGGTCTTACTGGGAGGATGGATTTGTTCTAACCCCAAATGTTGGTGATGATGCTACAGTACTGTAAATAATACAAGTTATTGGGTTGTACACCCATAAAGAATAGACTTTGCGGCACATAAATTATTTTAATAAAATTGTGAGACAATATTTCCCAGACAAGATTTCTCTCCATTTGAGATAGAGTAAGGAAAGACCTGGTGCCATCTTGGTACAGGTGAAGTCTCCTTTGGGTGGGTCCGGGGGTGGGGGGGAGCGAGTATGTTCCTCTATTTAGCTATCTGTGACACTCACATCATTCTTGTGGTGTGTCCCACTAACGAAGTAATAGAACCTACCATACATTCTGTGCAGAACTTTTTGGTTTTTAAGAGTTTAATAACTAATGTCTGGGATGCGCTTCCCAATGCAACATTTGGCACTGGAGTTTGGAGCCTATTGAGACAAGCAGGAAACAGAACAATACTTTCCTGGTGACTGCAATGTTTCAAAAGAGGGTGCATTTTTGTTCAACAAAAGCCAAATTAAATTCAGAGGCAGTCGCTCTAATTCTGGTCTATTGTATTGCTCTGTAATGCAAAGTGTTGAAACTTGAGTAGCTTTCCAACCTTGTGATCCTCTCCCCCATGACGGTCCTGAGTCTGTCTGCAGACCTCTGCTTGGGTGCTAAAGGTCTTGTGAGAGCAGGGCTCTATAAAGAATCACGGGAGCCAAACCACCCCTCCTCCCCCCACGAGTCAGGAGGTGCTACCAGTCGTACAGGTAGTATGGCTCTGTCTCCAGAGGCGACGGACTGCTTTAGTCTGACGTGTGAGACAGCAGCCTTGTTCTGAAAGTCCCAGCCCAGACCCTGCTAGCTACTGAGCAGATGGGAACACATTTGGATCCCCAACGGGTCTGGATCCCATTTGAACCGTGCAAACAAGGTGAACAGGCCTCAAGCTTTTTATCGATCCCTGCCTCCTAACCTGGGATTAATTATTCATTTCACTAGCCTCTCCAAGTGCACAGGCCACCTGGAGACAGAGTCTGGTCTGAGTCGACGTCTTTATCTGCAATTTCCCTTTAAAGCATGCTTAGTTGTGTGTTGTATTTGCCTCCCTGAAACAAAAGATACCTTTCTCTTTTTTTTTTTAAAAAATGACTTTTTCTAAGAAAGATAAAAATCTACAATGCACTCTGTAATGGAGTCCAAATAATATTTTTAATACAAGTTTTCTTCTCGAGTCCTGTGTTATGCAGAGAAAGTGGTAGCAAATAGAAATGGACAGATTGAGATGGGGACATTTTTACAGTCATGCTCCAGAAATTGCAACATGTAGCAGCCACACCATTGATGTTGTAAGGCTGACACTAATTGTTACTACCACAATGCACCCGGCTTACATTTATTGTAAATAAATTAGCTTCCATATAATTCTGGGTTAGTAAGTGAATATGACATTTTTTAATCTATAAAACTAGATCTTGGGGCTGGAGTTGTGGCTCCGCGGTAGAGCGCTCGCCTTGCACATGCGAGACCCTGGGTTCGATCCTCAGCACCACATAAAAATAAATAAGTAAAATAAAGTTATTGTGTCCAACTACAACTAAACAATAAATATTAAAGAAACCTAGATCTTAATTAGTCAAGTGGAGAATAAATTAGTTTTGACAGTGCTTTGGAGAAATAAACCTGAAGATATCATTGCTATCTGGTTAAATTACGTCCTTCAACTCTTACAGAATAAACTAACCACTGATATCATAGAGGATCATCTGATTCCACAGAGGTTTTAAATAGCAATAAACAGGGAATTTCAAAAATTTTAGCAATGACAAAGAAAATCTAGGAGGGGTCCAGGTTCTAGACATTATGAAACAAAACTAAGAGACTAATTCACTCAGTTAACCACTGTTTTATGAAAGATGACATAGACTAAGCACCTAAAACTCAGGTTTCGTCCCAAAAATTTGTAGAATGATGCTTAGTGGAGAATTTTTTTTGTACTAGGAATTCAACCCAGGGACACTTAATCACTGAGACACATCCCTACCCATTTTTGTATTTTAATTAGAGACAGGGTCTTGCTGAGTTGCTTAGGGCCTCACTAAGTTGCTGAGGCTGGCTTTGAATTCTCTATCCTCCTGCCTCAGCCTCCGGAGTAGCTGGGGTTACAGGCATGCGCCACTGTGCCCAGCTTGATGGAGAATCTTAGTGAAGACGTTGAGTAGAAGTCCATCCTGGAAAACCCCAACTTCAAAGTTTAGAAAGTCCCCTTATTATCATTTTCTGTGACAACTTGAAAGAAAAACTCTGCTGACATCCTTAACCATAAATGTCCATGGGACCTTCCAACACATCTGGTCCCCATCTGGTTGGTCAGCATGGCCACCCGCTGACCAACATGGAGATGAGAATCACATCCCAGGTGTGTCAGGGAGCAAGGCGAGGGTCCCCCACTGGGCGCAGGACAGCAAGACTGACCTTTGGAGGAGCGGAAGTGTTTGCTGGGTGCAGTGAAACCCCGAGTCCCGTGCACGTTGACGGCGGCCACTCGGAACTGGTACCACCTGCTGGGTCTTATGTCGGTCATTTGAACCCGCTCATCCGTGGTCTGAAGGGAAATGTCACAGAGCACGGGTCAGTTTTTATTCTGATGTGTCCATTGGGTGTGTTTCAAAAAATGGCACAAACTCTTCAGCCAATGCAAAAAAACAGTCTTGACCTCCCTTTGTATGAGCCCCTCTTATCATTTCCAGATTCAAAGAGTCATTGGGAAGCAGGAAACTTTGGACACCGCCTCATCTCCAAAAGTTAAATACCTCTGGGAGTCAAAAATCTTATCACAAACGCTTGGGCTATTTTAGAATCTGATGACTAAATGGAGCATTCGAGAGATTCACTCAATAGAGAATGGGTACCCCATGATTGCTTGATAGATGAGAAAGTGAATTCATTTCTAGGTTATAGAAAGAAGATGCCTCTTAAACCCGCACACCAAATATAATTCTAGAAGCAGCTATAAGAACCCACATGCTTAAAGGCTGATGACTATATCAAGAAGTTAACTGTAGCTCAAAACAATTTTTTAATTGAGTAAATCACATGATATCATGAGAATCCAGTCCTGACCCTCAAGAGTAACTATCTCACCTTTTGTATCCAGGAATTCTGCACACTTGGATTCAAAATATTTGCAACACATTGGGAAATATTTTGACATATTTGGAAAAATACTTTGGAAGATATTTGGGTGAAAAATATTTGGAAAAAAAATGGTGTCTGAATTGAACATGTACATGCTTTTTTAATTCCCTTATGATGCGTCCCTGAACAGTACAGTTAGTCAATATTGAATCACATGATTAACAATATGATTCGTCCCTTAACAATGACTTAGATAGCATTCAGATCACCTTAGGTATTCTAAGTCATCTAGCCAGGACTTCAAGTGTAAAATAGGGTCTGCACAGGCTACAGGAAAATACTGTGCTGTGAGGGATTCGAGCATCATCAGATTTTGGAATCTGCAGGGGATCCTAAAAAATAATATCCTGCATGGCTATCCAGTGACAACTGTCTATTCTTGTCTAATATAAAGAAAGAAAAAAAAAGATACTGGGAGAAACAAGTAGGTTGTCTTGTATCTACTGCTAGGGTCTCAAGATATCAATAACTTTAGCAGCCTTCAGCCAGATGGGATGTACTGACTTACAACATCTGATGCAGACTCACCTTGGCTTTGAGGGTGAAGCTGGGGAAATACGATGGAATCAGACATTCCCAAACTTCTTAACGGTAATTTATTATGGCAATGCTTACGTCCATCTCTCAAAGCTAAACATTTCTGAGACCAAAGGAAGGGTAAGACTCAAATGTGGCATTCTACCTGGTTTGGCTGAATTTGAGACAATTTGGGATGACTTTGGCATGTAGCGTTTTAGCTCTGAGTTTGAAAAACTTAAAGCCGGAATGATAATCTTGGAACATTGGACAAAGAATCGCATGTGGCATTAGCTAGCAAAAATAACAGGAATCAAATGATAATTTTAGGTGTTTCTTTTACATCAAGCTCTTCACTTATTTATTTTGTCCTGACGGAGGCACAGTAAGTTAACGTGCTGTGCTTAATGTATGCAGGGGACACTCTCCAGGAAAGGACTTACCTGGGCCACCGTCTGCCAGTGAGTGGCATCGTCCTCGCTGGGGTGGATCCCATAATTCCATCTTCTTTGTACCACGTAGATCACAGGCTCAATGGAAACGTTGAATTTTGAGGACCACTTCACCTCCAGCTGTCCCGACTTGTGCTCGGTAAATCGTAATTCTTTCCTGGGCTTCAAGGGGACCCCTGGAACAAGACCATGTCAATTAAAGCCATCTGCAAGGGCCCCAAGTGCAGGTAAATGCTGAGGAAGGAAATCTACAAGAGAGACCAATCTCCTCTGCCACCCACCAAGATTCCATCTCCTTTCGTAAACGTGACTTCTTCTCCTCAGGGATAACAGGGGACATCTGACATCAGGTGCAATCCATCCTACGCCATGAATATTACTCCTTTTCCCTTTTTATTTCATTCTAGAGGGACACAATTAATTGCTGGGTGTGGACAAATCTTTTTCTCCCTAGAAAATTCTAGAGTCACCCTTTCAAGGACATTGCACTGAGTAAATCGTGTTACCAGGTTGCCTCAATCAAGGGTCACATGGAAGTCACACAGGACAGTCATTACCAAAGAATTCAAGTCCTCTCTCTTTTTTCTAACATGGTCCGTTTCTTTGGGGACATTCTAAGGTCATTAAATTACAGTTCCAAGATTTGCTCTCTTTTCTACCTTAAGGAGTATTTCCTTTGAAGGGAAAGGAAAACACACAACACACACACACAACACACACACACACACACACACAGCAGTGCTGAGCTAAGCTGTCAAACCTCACAAGTGTGAGTCTTTGGGATTCTTTCATGAATTGCTCAGGCAATCCATTGCCCTATCAACTTTAAAATTGGAAAACCATGAATTTATAACGCTTGGCTTTGGCATGAAGGAACGCATTGCTTCCAACGTCCCTCACAGGTGTCTCTCCCTTTAAGCTACTAATCCCTCAGATTTCCTTTTCCTCCTCTTTGGCACATAAGTTGTCTTGGTGAGGGAAAGATTTGAGATCCACAGTTCTGAACCACAGGCTTTATTGGAAGGGAACTTCAGAAGCCATTTGGTGGGAATCTAAGGCACCATGTCGGTGGACACGGCCAACACCACCATTTTCTGTTGAGAATGGCATCTGCCTAAGGCACCAAAAGCTCATTTGGAAAAATCCAGTTCAGAGGGCTCTATTTATTTTTCCATTTCTTGGGTTTAAACAATGAGGAAACTGGAAAATGTGGACTCACAAAATAAATAAGACGGGATGCATGTTGGTGTCAATGGCTGAATCTCAATTATTTTTTTTTGACTGAATTCACATTAAGGTCTTGTTGAGGGAGATTTTTAAATTCACCAAATGCTTAGGTGGACAGAGTTGGGTGATTTTATTTTTTATTTATTTTTTTTTTTATTTTTTAATTTTTTATTGTGGGTTGTTCAAAACATTACAAATTTCTTGACATATCATATTCCACACTTTGATTCAAGTGGGTTATGAACTCCCACCTTCACCCCATACCCAGATTGCAGAATCACATCAGTTACACATCCATTGATTTACATATTGCCATACTAGTGTCTGTTGTGCTCCGCTGCCTTTCCCATCCTCCACCCTCCCCCCTCCCC